ACCCTTTTCATCCACACAGGCTTCCATACCATTCTTTGGTCCAACAATTACACTATGCATAATTACAAACGGTAACAGTGACATAATGATCTGCTCTCATACAATAATAAATAAGTTACTACATAACCTCCAAGGATCCTGGCTTCAACCAGTAGTCATCAATGGAAACAAAATCATTAGAAAAACACAACTATTTAACCTATAAATAGAACATAAATGCTATATCCCTCTAAACTATAGTAACTGGACCTTGAGCAAAATTCCATCTGTGTGACACTGGAGGGATTTTGTCAGCAATGCAAGTAACCATGGTAACAGTCATACATCAACAGTATTTCTGGTCATAAGGAAACTGCTGAAAATACTTCAGGCAGAACAAACTCTGGCAGACAGGCAGGCATGTAAACTGTATATCTTCACTGAATAGCTAAATTATTGTGAAGGTCAGGAGAACATTGGTGATATACACCGAGGTGTCAAATATCACCCACGGTTTACCTCCGGATTTACCTAGGTGTCAGAGGTCATATGGTAGACACACACAAATGTACTAAAAGCAAATTTAAAAGGAAAACAAGATTCACTTTATAAATGTTAGAAGTGGATATTCAAAAAGGTGTGAAAGGTCACACCAAAGTTAACTTAAATTCTCTTATACAGATGACGGTACGTACACAAAAAAAAGTAGGATAAATGCTTTCAGTCCAAATATATCTATAATGTATGCATTGATCTCTGATTTCTGTATCACCTTGAAATGTCACATATTTAAATTATCAGGTCACACTTTTCCAGAGAAAAAGAACTATAACTATTTTTCAAGTGCTGACCATAACATTAAAGAAGTACCATAGCTCACTATTGGGTGACAAATATTTGAAATATTACAGAAAGCATGCATCGAAAACACTTTTGGGCCAAGAACTGAATAAGTTTAAGAAGCTTTCTTCAGACACTTTAGGTGGATTTAAGATTTAGATATATAATCTAAATACGAAACAACTTTTCATTTATCTAATCAAATTACAACTCATCTTCCCCATGGCAATTCTAATGAAAGGGGAGATAACTATTAACAAAACATGTATACAGCAGTAAAACCATACTTATGTAAGTAAAACCTATTGAGGTATGGCGACCTTAATGTTATACTGACAGTGTTAAATTCAATACTGTTGGCTGCTCATCTCTGTAGTTTTATCTAAATGCCACTTAAGCTATAAATGTTTAATTTGTAAATGTCATAAGATGAAAGAGATCTACTGTAATATATATTTTGTGGGGCTCAATTTATGTAGCTTTTCAATCACTGTTTTGTGAACATTTTATTTGTGGATAGATATGGTTCTACAAATCAATTTATACCAATTATGACAAGAATTTGTGGAATTATAGTACCCATAAAATCAACCAACTTTTTCAGTGTTCAGTTTTCAAGTTTTCCAGTAATTTAACTACATATTTCGACAAACCAGGAAAATTGATGGATAATTACTGACTACATTATTTGTAAATGCGTGTACCACAATATCTTTTTAACCTTTGTGTCAAGTTCCAAGTATAACTGTCATTCTCGCTTGTATTCCTTTTGTAATTTGTTGAAAATCTGTCCTTGAACTAGGGGAAGTGACCAGCTTGTTGACATGACAAGGGAGTTGGGTCTGTTAACACCTAGCCATTGTTAAATGAGCACTATATAGCAGCTTAAGTAGGTGGTAAAAGTATTTTGATTGAAATCATGTTGTAAGCTATAAATGTACTTAATATCTTCCCAGACTTTGTTGATGTAGGGAAGTAAAGTTAAAATACTATAACTATACCCTGCCTTTTTAAGTGAATCATACACAGGTATTATATAAGTACTCAACATATACAGATCTATGTATGTTCATTGTTTAACAGCACACGATCAGAATCAGACAAAGGTAGGACAACACATTAAAAAAATTTGTATAGTGAGTCGCCAGACACATAGGACACTACTCACACTACAGAGCTAAGATCTGTGAGCTTCAACAAATATATATATATACATACACCAATCCCTCATTCTGTTTTATAAATAAAGTTGGAAATAATTCATTATTATTCATTATAATGAGTACTGACACAACAGAGCTACCAATCGTAGCATCATTCAAGCATGTCAATCCACAGTAAGGCAATCTGCTCATGGAATAATAGATTTATCTGTCACATTTCATCTCCATATATATACAAATAAATCTTAAGCAATAACAGAAACAAAACAATAAAATCATATTGAACAATGTAAGAAAATAGCTTAAAATTTGTAACAAGATATACCAGTAAGTATATATATATATAAAGCTATAGATTGATATTGGGTCAAGATTGTATCTTAATAAAATGAAGTAAAATACACTCATGTATTCAATCTTCACAGACTATGTGTAAGTAGTCGTCCTTGTCATAAAGGAAGAGATTTCTGTTAAATCTTGTTAATACTGAATTTACAGCCCACAGTTAAATTAAACATAACTTTCAGCGACTGGACTCTCACAGTAGTTACTACATGTAGCCAAATGGACAACTTGGCTTTTGTCTATCAAAGGCCATAGTAACAGATGACAGCAACACACAAGTACTGGTGACCTTCACCTGTTGTAGGTTGCTGTATGTCACATCAACACACACGACCTTCATCTGTTGTAGGTCATAGTAACATATACATGACCTTGACTAGTTGTAGGTCACAGTAAGAGACACATGCCTTTCACTTGTTGTAGGCCACAGTGACAAGACACATGAAATTCACTTGTTGTAGGCCACAGTGACAAGACATGTGAAATTCACTTGTTGTAGGCCACAGTGACAAGACATGTGAAATTCACTTGTTGTAGGCCACAGTGACAAGACATGTGAAATTCACTTGTTGTAGGCCACAGTGACAAGACATGTGAAATTCACTTGTTGTAGGCCACAGTGACAAGACATGTGAAATTCACTTGTTATAGGTTTACAATGGCAGACACATAAAACTTCCTATACTGATAATGTTGAACCTATCTGTACATTTGTCATTAGCGAAGATAAAAACGATAATTTCAAATGTTGTATTCTCCTTTTAAAGCATAAAAAATTAAGAAATATGTGCAACACCTATTAGGAGATGAGTAAGATAAGACATTATTAATGTTTCCTACCTGTGGATTGACATAATAAAAGGTGATAAAGATGAACAGAAAGACTTGGTAGATGTCTACACACCCATATACATATTAACAGGCCCAATTATTTACACACAAGTAGGCCCTGCCAATGTACAATGTATACATACACCTCATTTACATATAAATAGGCCCTGCCAATGTACAATGTATACCACCCCTCATTTACATATCAATAGGCCCTGCCAATGTATAATGTAAACACACACCTCATTACATATAAATAGGCCCTGCCAATGTATAATGTATACATATACCACAATCACATATAAACAAGTCCTCACCAAGTACACTGTATACTAACATCTCACATATAAACAGGCCCCGTTTATGAATACATAGACTGGCATTTACTTATACATTGGCAATGTGAATTCAGACAAAAATGTTATTTTTAGTAAGCTTATGTTTACATCAATAGAAAACAAATGTATAAATCAATCCTGATCTCAATGAGAGATTTATCCATAGATAAAAATTAAATTGTACTAAGTAGTCTTAAAATTACACCTGATCACTAATAAAATTAGTAACAGACAATATACACTCAAAACTTCAATACAAATTCAGGGTTCAATTTATATGTAGTTGTTAGATTTTGCAAAGAAGATTTGGTTTTCTGCATTGATAAAAAAAATTATAACAAACCTTGTTGGTAAATAACTGAAAGAAAACCGTTAATGATATTGAAATTGACCAACTCTCTATTTCAATCGTTACTGCTGAAGTTGTTAGTGATTTAGTGGTATTTGTATGGCTACACAGCACCATTTAATGTGTTTCACAATGTTTCTTATCACACTCACATCAAGCCCCTGTCTGCAATTAAATAGGCCTCATCAATGAATATGTAAACTGTTGTTTATAGGTAAACATCAACCTCCATTTACATATAAATAGGCCCCATGAATGTATACATAAACCCTCCTTTACACATTAGTAGGCCCTGTGAATGGTATAATGTAAAGATGTTTATAATCAAGCAATATTTAATAGGCCCTGTAGTATATGAGAAAGAGGTTATATTGGAATTTTCTTACAATTCAAACTTTCGTATCTTGTCTATTATCTAACATCCAGATAGACAGGAGGGTTCCATACCACACACACGTCGACCTTAAATTTTGCACACCATACACACAGCTTTACAAATATACTACCTCACAGAAATTAAATATTCTTCACTCTGAGTGTATATGTCACTACTACCTCAAAAGCTAACACATTCTTCAAATACAGATTTACACGTACCTTGTAGAAATTAGACATGATTTAACAAATACCTTACAAATCAAACACATTCCTCAGACACAATGTCACACACAACTTTACAAATAGTGCCTTGTAGAAATTAAATACTCTCCACCCAAATATAACAATTGCACAGCTACACAAGTGTGAAAAGAACCTGAAAGGACTTAAATATTTCCCTTAATCATTCTTTAAAGACACTTGCTTACTTGAGTGAAAACATTTAACAGAAATAACCTCTTTGATATAAAATTTGATCTGAGAGCAATGTCCTTAATTTATTTACATAGAACTTTCATTCATTAAACTTATTTCATACAGACCTGAAAGGAAGCTTCAAGTTAGAACTCTCAATTTTAATGAAATTATGTATTCAAGTACACTGATATCAAACATATTCTGAATTTACATCAATGGGAGATAATTTTTCAAATTGAACATTAAAAATTCCTGTTCCAGGTTCAAAATCACACCAATGGTATATCTGATATCAGTTCAGAGTTAGAATTACTATCATATTAATCTAAAAGTAACTATTATGTTCACTCATGACCACAGCTTACAAAAATAAAATAAATAAATAAAATTTTGAAAAATCCTGTTTTTATTTCAATCATTTTTTCTTTTTTCTAATGAGAATATATCAGAATCCATTGATTTTGAAGATTCTACAATTTCAAATACTTTCAAAGAAATTACACACAAAAAAAAAAGCTAAATCAAACATTTCTCATCTTTCCCATATACAATATATATCTAACCTTCATAAGTTGTGTACGGTCAGAAAATCTGAGAAAATTCCACTTGGTAGTTATAAAAAAATTAAAACATAATTCAGCTGAGTGGTATCTATTAATAAACACTTCGGGGATATCAAGGAAATATCAATAAAAGAGGGTCAGACTTAAAATACGAACTGAAGTTTAATTAAAATGATATCATAACATATTTGTAATTGTATAGTTCATGTACAAACAAAAGGGAGGTAATCTAGTTTAATCTGAAATTTTTCAGGCAACTAAGACAAATTTTTACGAGAAATAGAATCTGTTATCCGTATATGTTCCTGATCAATTCATCTCAGTCTCGGACTGACATTCTATAGCTCATACTTGGCTTCACCTCACAGGATTTTGTTATAGGGGTCACCCCTACTCTCTAATAAATGTTTCAATCACACATAGCCAATAGAATATATCAGAAGACAAGTTCAGTTTTCCTGTATACTCAGTTGTCCCTCTAAAAATGATAAAGTCAATAACTTGAGACTAAATATTTATAAGGAAAGTGAGACAATGTATGATGACATGTTTTTCATAATCAAGGTTAATCATTTATAGAAAACCTTCATATATACTTACAGACATGGCACATATTTCCTACAGCATTCCTACACACGTTGATGTTTCAGTGCAAACCAAGCTTCCCGCCACTGAATTCAGACCATTTTTCACTGTATAAAATGCATCTATGTAGACAACTGTTACTTATAAACTGTGATCATGAGAGACAAACAACATTAAAATGGTGTTGTATGGTTGCACTAGTTTCCAGAAGACTTAATTTTCAATAACCATCAAAATTGTATGTTTATGTTTACGATTTCAATCAATGTATAGGTCTATATATATATATAGCATCTCGCTTCTTTCTCTATCCATGAAACAATTAGGGACAAGTTTATCCCCAGTGCTATGCTTTTCACTATGAAAAATTTAGAATATCACTTCTTTATTATCCTTCCTAAACATACACACAACACATTACATACCAAATATAATGCTCTCAATTTTCACATATTCTACACACATGTACATTAAACACACACTACTTCGGGGACACATTTTCCTTTAATTCATTCTGTCATCCAAATACACTGAAATTTATACAATGCCCTCATATCTTAAATCACATTTTTGCCCTCTTACACTGCCCTCCACTCATAATATGCCCTCCCACAGTAAGCTACAAAGTACCCACATATGTGCATCACACATGGGGTACACAAATCCTCTTAGAGGCCACCAGCTCATATATAGTCTAATTGGCAGAATTGAGAAACATTACTAGTACATTCCTCTTGGAGGCAATATTTCATAATTTAGAATAAGAGAATGAATAGAAACCACATTGTCAGTAACATTCTCAAATGCATCTGCTTTGCTGGGTTATACTGACTCTGGGACACTTTCAGCCTATACAAGGCTAGTATCAGCCTATACAGACAGCAGGTAAATAAAGCACACAATTCTCCAGTCTACCATCATCTCTTTATAGCAAGAAAATGTATTTTTGTCCTTCTTTTTCTCTTTACAACGCCATCTTTTCCATTTTGAAGTCATACCTTCCTTATTTCGCGTTCAGGCTTCAAATAAGCCAAAGCACAGGTAGGAGTCCATGCAGGCTAGTGCAATACAGAGAAATATTATCAGCCCACAGGCTAGCTAGCACTGGAGAATTACACCAGTCTTTATAGACTAGCACAGAAGTTACATATGAGCTAGCAAAGTGGGCATTTAACCACCCAAAAAAGGCTAGCAAAGTCGGGAATGTACCACTTCTCCATAGCTGATCATCGCTCCATGAGCGCCACATGTGGAGGGATCTGGGGTCTAGATTACATGGCTAAAAGCACTGTATCACAAAGTTCAACTTTGACAGTGACCTCTGGCCATTTGTCAAAAGTGGGCTTGTCCTTGTCTAAACCCCTCAGTTTTTTCACCTCCAATTTGCCAATCATGACAGCACAAAAGTCTGGCTGTTGACGAAATCTCCACTCCATATCACAGATACATATATAATCCCTCCATCCTCAGACACCAGACCAATAGTTGCATTGGTTGAATACATAGTAGAGTAGCAGCAGGGTGATTGAAGCTAATCGCTATGGCAACATTCTGGCAACACAACACTCTATAGACATTAATTATGTGCCGAGGAGAAGAAGAACTGCGGATATTGACTGTTGATCGGTGTTTTAGGAGAAGCACACAAGTACATTAAATCTAAGTCCTCAGATTGGGATTGATTAAGTGTTGGCTCCGATGCACTCCGTCGAAGCTTACGTAGTGATAACACAATTGATTCCATCACCGACAATATCTGAAGATAACAGATTTGATATTTGACATTATCACAATTCAGAAATACCATGACACATTTGATGATAACAATGTCAACACAGAATACATTAACATCACAATAAACAAGATTTACTTTCACTGCTATCATATCATACAACTTCAAGTCTGATTATGACGATAAAAAGGCCAGTTTTACTTGATTGCCAACAATATAATTATCATATAAATCCTGTGATAATCCCTACTGCTAATCAGTCTAATTTTACCTGTGGAAAGAGAGGTCTCTGCTCTCTATCAAATTTACAGCACTCCTGCATCAGCATCCTGTAACGTTTAGGGGTATCTGACCGAGTTTTGGAGATATCTGGCTTTAGGAAGCCCTTCCCCACCATAAACAGGATCTGTAAGAAGCACCATAATTCAGTCATCTCTAAACATGTACACACAATGCGTCATTTCTAGATACATTTTCAACAATGAAATATTGAATACATATGTAATTCTTCCTTTGAGTACAAACTGTCCACTCACGGTTGAAAATAACTAAGAAAGAATTGCTATGACAAAAACCTAGAATAAACGAACAATTACAATGAATGAAAGCAACAACTTGGTTATTACAGAAGGACTATAACCGTCTAGAATGATCCTATACTTGCCTTTTGCCACAAGTATTTCAAAGTCAAGTAAAGTATCCTCACAAAAGTACACTACAGGGTATATAACTTCACTGTTGATCATAAAAAGAGCAATCTATTATTAAATACCAACACATTCTTCATAAAACATTATTTATCTCTTCAAATATTACAACACATATTTCTCTAGAAATAATTGTAATAGAATGTTTGGCCCATTAGGAAGAATTAATCAATACATTGTTGACCTAAAGCTTGTTATCTGTGAAGAACTAACACATCAGGAAAATACCACACCTCACAAGCATTAAACCAACTTTAATATTACAGCTGTCTTAAAATTAAGTAAAAACACTACTGTAGCATTTACGTGGACAAACCTACCTGGTCTTTGTTATTGATATTAGAGTAAGGTAGCTGGCCTGTCATTAGTTCATACAGAACAATGCCATATGCGTAGACATCTGACTGGTTTGTGTAGGGGTTAGCCTCTTTCATACGTATCACTTCTGGAGCCTAAAATTACAAGGTGATGTCGTTCAGTTCATTCCAGTTCAACATATCTATAACATATTTCATTTTTTGACATATTATTAATTACTTTTAATACTGAATTTTTCTGTCAGTTAACAATCGATGTACATACATCGTTTAGGTCTTGACGAGATGACACATAACATCCCTTCTCTTTTTGTTCTATACGAGAAGACATACAACATCCCTGCACTTTTTAGTTTACACCAGATGACATATTTACATCCCTGCACTTTTTGTTCTATACCAGAAGATATAACATCCCTGCACTTGCTAGTCTATACAAGATGACATATTTACATCCCTGCACTTTTTGTTCTATACAAGAAGATATAACATCCCTGAACTTGCTAGTCTATACAAGATGACATATTTACATCCCTGCATTTTTTGGGCTAAATGAGAAGATATCTTAGATCCCTGCTCTTTTTGGTCTGAACAAGATGACATATTTACATCCCGGCACTATTTGGTCAATATGAGAAGATATAACATCCCTGCACTTGTTAGTCTATACGAGATGACATAATACATCCCTGCATTTTTTGGTCAATATGAGATAACATATCACATGAGTTTTGATTTGCTTTAAAAATCTTGAAGGAAATTTAAATCATTTCATTTTTGAGGTTATATTGACACATCTGATGTCTCACTTGTGATATCATTATGAAATAGACAAATGTGCAACATATTTCACTAAACAATAAATGAAACATGTACATGATATCTGTATAACATTTTCTCAGCTTCAGAAACACAGTATTACTGATGACTCTACCCACCATCCATAATATAGACCCTGTGGGCTGTTGGAACTGGTGTGAACCACTCCATCGCGTCTTCACTGTAGCCAGACCAAAGTCACCAATTTTCACAGTCAAGTTATCTGTTAAAAATATATCTTACAAATGGTTAAGGTAAACATTCAATTAAAAAGCCATCCACATGAAAACTGTTTCTATATCCACTGGTACAACAGGAAATTTATTTCTTCATACAAATATTATCAATGGGAATTTATGTTTAGGACTGAATGTATTATACTTCATTATGATAATCGTATTTGTAGTATATACACTATAACAGCATGTCATTATTCTTTATTTTGGATCAAAATACTATGGTAATTCAATAAAGCTTTTTGTGTGCTTCAATGTGTCTTCAAATTCTATCAAGACTGAATTGAGGCCAGCAAATAATTCAGAAGTGATTAACTAAAAGGATACTGTTGGTCTTCAGGTCTCTATGGATAATTGACTTAGCATGTAGATAACTGAAAAACAGTGAAATAAATATATTTATAGATATAAAAACAGACGAAAATATCACAATTTTCAAATCATATGTATCACATCAAATTATTCTATTCTTCATTTTCAACTGCATTGTTAAAATCGAGAACTCATGAATTTTATATGCAATCTTCATTCAGCTCTTTTAGATTTACACTAATAACAATTACATTTGAATATTAATTTGCCAAAAAAGACCCTAAATAGATATTTCCCTTTGTATACTTACTCCATGCCCTGTGCTGTCTGCCGTGAGATTTCCATTAAAGTTACCATTTCAAAGCGATTTTCTGTAATATGTAAATGTTTGTAGAGACTGGAACCCTCACACCACTGGGTAATGATAGCTAGCTGGGGCCGTGATGTCCAGCCAGAGAAAAGCAATATATTCATATGGCTTGTTTTTCTGAAAATAAAAGATTCCATCAAAGTTATGCATAAGTAAATTTTTATGCTCATAGTTCTTGGTAATGATAAAAAGGTTGCAATATGGGAGGATATAGTTAATGCTTAATAAACAATTGTCTAGATACAAGGCAACACAGCACACCGTATCATTTACAGAAATGTTCAAAAGTGCAAAACCTCAATGATTAAAAAATCTTCCAACAATCTTCCAAATACAAATACTTAAGGGATTGAAAAGATATCTCTCATTAACTTCTGAAGTGAATTAGACTCACCTTAAAACAGCCACTTCATTTTTGAAAGCCTTTAGTTGTTGAGGTGTTGGGTCTGTGACATTGAGCCGTTTGATGGCCACATGGCCATGATAGTATCCCCTATACACTGTCCCAAAGGACCCTGACCCTATCCGTGGGCCCATCTGGATGTCCTCAGCAGGGATCTCCCAATCCTCATTAGAGTCCCTCCTGTGGCGCTGCACATGGAAAAGGAATTATGTAAATCACACTACACACAATAGTTCATAGTCTACCATATTCCATAAATTTTCTGCCAATGTTGGATCAAAACCTTGGGACTTTTTTGATAGTATTGTGAAATTCTGATCATTTATCTAACATTCAAACAAGTCTGAGGTATCTGAGGTAAACCATGTATATCTGGCAGTACAAAGACAAACTACAATCTATCTATCAGGGACTAGAATAGAAATACAAACAAATGTTCATTTGTATAATCTTGGCTTGCAATTATTCTCTATCAGATGATAGAGAAAAATGAAGGGAAGTAACTCTGGGATATCAGAGTGACTTGTAATAAGCACACTCGAAAAGCTATGCTTTGGCACCAATGTGACAACTTACCCTGGTCCTACAACTGACATCAGTATAACTGGATTTTAAAATTAAACAATATAACAACTTACCTTGGTCCTACAACTGACATCAGTATAACTGGGCTTTAGAATTAAACAATGTGGCAGCTTACCCTGATCCTACGGTCAACATCTGTAGAACTGGACTTTTGATGATGGGCACCTGAATTTGTTGGAGAGTCTGGAGTACTGTTTGGAGGACTGTGAGCGGAATGGTTCACACGGATAATTGGCTCTGAATACAGACAGGGACAGGGTTACCTCAACATATATCTCACAGCTTTGAAAAGCAAATTAAGGATCAAGCGTCTTATGATTTTATTGTATCAAAATATAATCACGATGAAAGTATAGCAAACCAGCTATTTTCCTTTCCAAATAATATTATTCAGTTATTCCTCACTGTCATTTCCAAATACAATCTTACCCATTTAGCTATTTCTAAATACCATTCCCAAATATAATCTTACCCATTTAGCTATTTCTAAATACCATTCCCAAATATAATCTTACCCATTTAGCTATTTCTAAATACCATTCCCAAATACAATCTTACCCATTTAGCTATTTCTAAATACCATTCCCAAATACAATCTTACCCATTTAGCTATTTCTAAATACCATTTCCAAATATAATCTTCCCCCTTCAGCTCAAATATCACCTCATCCAATCAGCTTTTATTATTTCCAACAAGAGATCCCAGAGGAATTTTGGCATCCATCTTTGTTTGATCTTTGTTTTTTTCAAAGTTGGATATTTTCCTTCTTTCCTTCCTCCTCTCTGTTTTAGCTCTTAATGATACTGAATATGAACATTACTTTGAAGAAATAGCGATAACAATCTGATATCCAAGGTGATTGCCTGTTAGCCATTTTTTTTCTGATCAGTCCAAAAATATAAGGGTCATAACTAAAGGCCAAGGGGAAACTGCATATGTAATTTGAGAGAGGTTTATTCAGTGCTTCTCCAAAAATTGCTTACAGATAGATCATGGACCATGGATGTCGGGCAATTCAAATAGCCCCCCACCCCCTCCCCCACTGATGATATAATGTTAATCAGTCAAAGGTATTTTCATACATAATTTTCAACCAATCAAGTTTTCTCGTTCACTCATACTGTGAAGTTATTCATGTCACTAGATAGTACCTACCTGTAGCTGTAACTATGGCTGGATTTACGTATCTATCGAAGCCCTACAACACAACAGTGGTTTATAATTAATAGAAATAGATCACCACTTTGCAGTGTCACTCTTTATATACCTCACATTATCATAAAGACATATGATAAAAAAGGTTATTTATAATGCTAGGTTAGATGTATTAATAGCTTAGATGTGTTAATGTAAAAAAAAAAAAAAAAAAATTCATACATTTTGTATAATATACTACAACTATATCATACAATGTTAAACAAACTCATACCTTATATATAGAAACAATTAAGTATACTACAACTAAGTTATACAAAGTTACACAAACTCATAACGTATATATAGATACCAGTAAGTATACTACAACTAAGTTATACAAAGTTATACTTAGTTCTACATTAGTGTAATGTTCACAACCATACAGTAGCATATATTGTTTAGTTGATCAAGGCATCACTGACATATATAATGACCGTACTGGTACACTGTATAACCAAGACCTCACTAATTCTCCAGTGCTAACAATATATGGATTTTCTGTTTACATTTTCTAACTTTCAAACCTGTTTGAATCTGTTATTTTTACAGGACTCAATTAGTTTATAAAATGTGTCTTCTGAAAATAAAGTCTTTTTCAAAAAGAGTATTTTAAAGAAAAAAGTATTTTGAGAAAGTTTTGAAGGCAATATATGGTGAGGGGTTTGGTTTCAAGTAAACATTACAGCATGCATTCATACACCACAAACACGGACAGGACAGGGACTGGAGACTGTCATTAGAGTCACTTTTAATATCTAACCTACATCTATCATTTCTAACATAATTCAGTTGTAACACTTTAAATAGAAATACTCAATAATACCTACAAAGACACAAAAAATATTTTGTATTATTTCCTTTTTCGATCTAAATATATGTGATGACCGTATCTCGCTAATTGGGAAAAATTACCTGTATTTTATTTGATGATGCAATACTTGGAGGGTCAAACACTTCTCCATACTGTAATCGCCAAGCAACAAACATAAATATGGAATCACATATAGGCATGCCTTGTCTGATGAGATACAACAGTCAAGACTCAACGACAGGTATTACAAGGGCAAACATATGCACAACTTTACAAAGGAGTATTTTGTAAAGCTGAAACATTCAATACATTCCATTACAATTAAAACTTCAAATAAATAAGTTAAATCTTTCTTTTTATCTTAAACACATAACACTAATATACCCCCATTTCTTTTACAAAAGAGAAATCTTTGATCAACCCCATCCTCGAATTTCCAGGGGTTTTGATCACTAATGAGGCAGAGATCGTTCGGGATGGTAACCCCCAGATTTGGAGGATAGATGATCCCTAAATGATGTAAATTTAATCTATTTCTTTAGAATAAACAGATTAATATAGACAAATTTTACTACTGGTAAAGGGTAGTATTCCCCATGTGTTACGTTTTCCTCTCTCAATATAAACAAAATCCCCATCAAGAAAATTTACTGAAAACATATTGAAATTTCTCATAAATAGGGAATTTTCTCTGAATCTGAGCTAATTAGTATATTTTTACTGAACATATTTTCAAATGATACCATCATGAAAAAGAAATATAAATCTAACCTCATCATTGCCATGTTTTATTCATGTTATCTTCATGTATGACAAATATATTTTATATGAAGATCTAGAATCAAGACCAAAATGGCTGTCTGAAATTTCTCTATTTCCCAACATAAGCTAAAAATTCCCCCTTTTCCGTGATGGGTAGTATTCCCCAAATTCTTCATTAACCCATAAGAATCATTAGAAACTGTCCTACTTTGTCAACATACAGTGATTAGAAGTGTTGACAATACATTACATGCAAATGCAAGGTCAACATTATGTATATATACTCAATGTCAATTCTCAATATCCTTACATATTATTGTACATAAAAGTATCACTTCTAGTTTTATATATATGTACAGTCACACAATCTATCTTCAGAAATTATCTAATCTTGTAAGCTAGTCAATATCATGAGTACTTTAGTATCATACTACATGTACAGCACTTTTTTTAATTGAATCACCATGCCTTTTTCTTAACTAATGTTTAAGATTTCATGAAGAATGTCTATGTCACAATTCAAGAGAGATATCAATACATTTGCATTGAATCAAAAGAGCTCATACTGTTTATTGTTAATGTCTTAGTATTATACTAAATTTATAACATTTTTTCATCATATCTGTAGGTCCATTTCTTTTTAAATATTTTGATATCGTACATAACTTCACCAAATCTACAGAAAGTCACCGATATTTATGAGGTATGGTCTAAAAGGCAACCTATAGTATAATGTCACAGCAGAGAAAATTCAATATGTATTATTCAAAGATATTCTGATCAATTAATTCAATTTAGTTATCTTTTAACACACGTGTGTTTTTCATCTTTGTGTAGTGTATTTGTGATATAACTGTGATAATATGTGATTGTGATGTATGAAAGTATAAGGTGAGAATAATATATTGAGTCTACATAATGCTATACTAGCACATGAAAAACACTACCTTGGGGTACATGAATGCCATAAGTGGCATTAGCTCTCAGGAACTGAAGATGCTCATGCACAGAATCGTCATATCCTATGTGCCTACCTACCACAGTGCAAGTCAAGTCTGTTAAATACTAAGACAATATCTCTAAAATATACATTGATTTCTTAAACATTTACTGTGATATAAAATTCCATAATAACTTTATATATCAAAACACTGTGTGTGTATTTAAGGATAACCAAATTTAATCATATGGTCAAATAATAACTGAATAATACATATTAACTGCTGACCACCGTGACATATATGAGAATACATACCCTATGACTACAACATCACAGAACCTCAAGAATCCATACTGTATGACTACAACATCACAGAACTACAAGAATCCATACTCTATGACTACAACATCACAGAACCTCAAGAATTCATACTGTATGACTACAACATCACAGAACCTCAAGAATTCATACTGTATGACTACAACATCACAGAACTACAAGAATCCATACTCTATGACTACAACATCACAGAACCTCAAGAATTCATACTGTATGACTACAACATCACAGAACCTCAAGAATTCATACTGTATGACTACAACATCACAGAACCTCAAGAATCCATACCCTATGACTACAACATCACAGAACCTCAAGAATCCATACTTTATGACTACAACATCACAGAACCTCAAGAATCCATACTCTATGACTACAACATCACAGAACCTCAAGAATCCATACTTTATGACTACAACATCACAGAACTTCAAGAATCCATACTTTATGACTACAACATCACAGAACTTCAAGAATCCATACTTCATGACTACAACATCACAGAATCACAAGAATCCCTATTGTATAAATACAACATCACAGAACCTCAAGAATTCATACTGTATGACTACAACATCACAGAACCTCAAGAATTCATACTGTATGACTACAACATCACAGAACTATAAGATTCCATACTGTATGACTACAACATCACAGAACCTCAAGAATCCATACTGTATGACTACAACATCACAGAACCTCAAGAATCCATACCCTATGACTACAACATCACAGAACCTCAAGAATCCATACTTTATGACTACAACATCACAGAACTTCAAGAATCCATACTTCATGACTACAACATCACAGAACTTCAAGAATCCATACTTCATGACTACAACATCACAGAATCACAAGAATCCCTATTGTATAAATACAACATCACAGAACCTCAAGAATTCATACTGTATGACTACAACATCACAGAACCTCAAGAATTCATACTGTATGACTACAACATCACAGAACTATAAGATTCCATACTGTATGACTACAACATCACAGAACCTCAAGAATCCATACTGTATGACTACAACATCACAGAACCTCAAGAATCCATACTTTATGACTACAACATCACAGAACTTCAAGAATCCATACTTCATGACTACAACATCACAGAATCACAAGAATCCCTATTGTATAAATACAACATCACAGAACCTCAAGAATTCATACTGTATGACTACAACATCACAGAACCTCAAGAATTCATACTGTATGACTACAACATCACAGAACTATAAGATTCCATACTGTATGACTACAACATCACAGAACCTCAAGAATCCATACTGTATGACTACAACATCACAGAACCTCAAGAATCCATACCCTATGACTACAACATCACAGAACCTCAAGAATCCATACTTTATGACTACAACATCACAAAGCTACAAGAATCCAATACTGTACAACTACAATACATGTGTCATTAACTAAGAGCTCATACTGTATGGTTATGATATATCTACATACACCACAAAGGTTTTAGTATTTACTACATCATACATCTCTAAGTCTGGATCAACACTTACTCAAATATTCTTTTTTCCTTATTTTTTTCTTAAGTTTACAAGAAACAAAATAAAGTGAAAACAAAACATGTTACTAACTAAAAAGAAACTAGACCTGATGTCAGATTTTTTTGTAAATACATCTGAAGTATAACTGACTAAACATAGTATATGAATACATAGAAACAGGCTCTCGTGCAACCAGTTAGTAGTGCATGCAGCTTATACAAGACAGGCATCTAGCCGTGTATTTGTCAGACCCGCCCAACATTATATACTGTACAAACATCTGACACCACCCTGTTTGTTATAAGACATGTCAGCAAAGATACTATACCACATATTCTTCTGTATAATATTTATGTTGTAACATTGATAATTTTTTCATAATGATATGTAATCTGTTTAATGCAGAAGAATTTCAAAGATATCTCATATTACAGGAACATGTTTTGATACACGATACAATACTGCTGCAGAATGGGATGCCATAAGACAAAAGAGATCAACATGGCCAACACTACATGTCCCCTAATAACATTAAGGGGAAAGTTTTATATCTATTTACCAAATTATCTATAAAAGTCATTTTAAATGGTCATCAAGACACGGGGACTTACAGTTCATTTCACATCTGAGCATGAACACAACCTTGTTCAATTGGCACTTTAATATCAAATTATCTCTTGTAACTTATTATGAATCTAATAATAGCAAAAAGTAATGTAATTAAGTAAATATTTAATTTCTTTTTCACTTGAATTTAAATATTGAGTGATGATTTTGACAATAATATGCTATATAAACCTGTTTAAATCAGAGGATGTCATATTTCTTGAAAATTTTGAAAGCAAGGCATAAGGATAATAATTTTTTCCATGGAGGTGTTGTTTCTGTTACATCCTACAAACTTTAATTATTCTGCGATTCCATGTTAAAGTGTAAGCAATTGACCTTGACATTCAAACTCTTCTTTTCAGGAAAGTGTTTCATTATCTTAATCCTGGTGTTAGAGGGTTACCATAATTGTAATTTTAGAAGTGACTTTGATGTGTATAGTACCTTTTGACATGCCATGGGTCCTGTCAGATTGTACCTACCTCATAATCACAGCTGGATGCTATAACTAATGCGGACACATTAGGTACCGAGGAGGATTTTTCAGATGAAAAAGATCGGGACGCCGAAACTTTGCGGGGATCAGCCATGGACTGAGAGAATCTACACATACGCAAACAAAATAGAAATACAATAAAAATACATAGCTAACATATACGTCTACGGTCGGGGATACAACATGTATACATACATAGAAATGGAAAAAAAAGTTAGTGCAAAGCCACCTCTATAGGCATTGAACCAATCAGTCCTGCTGCCCTATATATAGGATTTACTGCCTGTGTGCCATCAGCTTAATTACAATACAATGAAATAACATTCCAAACTTTTAGTCCTAAACTATATCAAATTTGTAAGATTTTTCACAATGTAATGTAATAAGAGTTCTATAGCCAGAAAAGTAACAAGCTATTGGTAATTTCACATATTTATCCTTTTTCTTGTCAGTATTAATTCCTTTGAAATAATAGTATAAATAATAATATTGGTAAACTTAAATGATGGCACTCTGAAGTTTGACAAATCCTATGATAGGTGATCAGGACGGACTCGTTAGTCTTGGCCACTACTTGATACAGTTAGACACCACAACAGCTGTACAATGCAGTCCTCACGCTGCAATCGGTGACCCCCACACCTACCTCAGCCACCGACGCATCACCAACGTTAATAAGACAAACATTGGGTGCGGATGTAGAACGTTCTCTGTGACCAAGAGGTGGAGTTGGCTTGTTACGATGGTTACTGGATATTGTCGGATTTCGGTTTCGAATATAATATGTATTGTCAACATCCACAGTATGCAAACTGAAAATTAAGAGCATGTCACAAAAATATCAAATGTAATTGAAGAAGCCATGTCCCCACAATTTTTTTTTAAATCGTGTACTGAGGAGCCACCTAGAAGAGAATCATGATGTTGGTTTGTAAATAATCAGCCATTTAGTGCAGGAGAAAACTGAAAAGGAACACATTTAAAATACCTATATCTTGTGAAGTATTTCACATAGTAATGTAGCTATTCAGATATAATGCAACTTTAATTCAACATCTGATAAAAAGCTATATCATCAGAGAAAAACGTCTCTTCAAACCATTTGATCAACAGCTGTTTTTAATGGCAAGAGTTTACAAAAAGCACAGGAAAATATTTGTGGGGGGAATTCCAGAAACTAGAAAAAATTTATATACAACTAGTAAGTACTGATTTCAGAAAACAGAAAATAAAAATGATAGAGTACAATGAAACAGCATACAGTGCTTGCTAAAAACTTCCAAGATATTAACAAGGAAACGGAAGAACAGAAGAAGGGTTAGGTGCTTGAAACTAATATGAATCATCATCAATCATAAAGAATAGATTTTTTTCTTATTTAACAATCATAACAATAAGTTAATTTCCATGTTAAACAATCAAATAAGTTGAACTGCCATGAATTCCATTTGTGGCAATTCAGAATAGCCATTCCTTAGGAGGGAGGTGGCAGGGGGAGAGAGAAGTAGACTGATCAGAATAGCCATTCCTAAGGAGGGAGGTGGGTGGGTGGGGGTGGGGGTGTGGGGGGGGGGGGGGAGAAGTAGACTGATCAGAATAGCCATTCCTAAGGAGGGAGGTGGGGGGGGGGGGAGAAGTAGACTGAATGAACAGACCTTTCTGTAGTTCATTACATAGGGCACAATAAGAAGCCTAAGTATGAGATCTTGACCTTTGATGAACAAAACAAATTAAACATGGGACTCACCTTCTCTTACCTGGATTATTCATTGTTAAATTGTCAAGTTTAATCCATATTGAGGAAAGCTATTAATATTTTTAGTTGTAAAGCTAATATCAAAATAAGCACAGAAATTTTTGGTCTTAGCAATCTTCCATTACCATGACCAGGCAATGGCTTCAACCATAACAATCATTTCATTATAACTACTGAAAGACAGGAAGTTCGCAACATGGAACATTTGGCCTTAGCAATCTTCCATTACCATGACCAGGCAACAGCTTCAACCATAACAATCATTTCAATATAACTACTGAAAGACAGGAAGTTCACAACATGGAACTCTCTTTATTACATAGCAATAGGAGACCAAACCTACAGGGAAAAATGCTTCAAATTGTGTTCAAACTGTCAACATGTGATATTTACTATGTTATTTACAAAGCAAAGTGTTTCAGTAAAATGTGATATTAACCAAAAAATTACTTTAACCTTTCTGACTTTTGTGTTTTCATTGTATTACAATGTCTTGTTTTTAGTAATCATTGATACAAAACATTCTAAAAAAATACATCTTTTAAAATCAAGAGTCATCTTTCCTGACCATTTTGTAATTGCCCTGTAGTAGTATACGTACGGCTTGTGTATATCGATGGCATCATGCCAGGGACACAGTAAAGAGACCCTGTTGATACATCGCTGGTGGAACCGAATGTTGCAGGTCTTACACATCAGACTCTGAAAAAGCGACTTCCCACATCCATCACAAAACGTTAAGAAGAAGTAGGTCTTTCTAACCTGGAACACAAAAGAAATTTAACAAAGCTTAAGATTACCAAAATGTATAACGTATAATTCATTTGCAAACTTAATTAAATGTGGATCAAATTTTAGCCTTACATCTTAGCATGCTACAAGACAAATATTAGCATCCTAGGCCTTTTAGTTATTGAGATTAAATTGTTAAAAGATTTTAACATATTTGACCCCTCTGACCTTGCAAGCAGGTCAAGGTCATTCATATTAACAAAATTAGTAGACCTTCATCCAATCATGCTACAGGTCTAATATCAGAACCCTGGGCCTTTTGGTTATTGAGAAGAAGTCATTTGAGTGGAAAGTTCATGCATGGCTGATGGCTCATGACAACAACTGCTATAGGTCATGCGGACCCTTTGGGTCAGATGACCTAAAATCAACAAGTTCATAGGTGGGTATTTACTGGAACAGCCCTGATAAGATTAATGTGTCACCATTCATTACTTACCAGCCTACAGTTGGTGTACAAATTATGTGCAAAGAATCTGTTTATACTGGGCTCAGATTACTTGTATTTGTATAGAGTTTAGGTACAATAGTTTGAACAATCACCAGGACACAAATGCCAGTTACCTTTTAAAATTCATCATACAGCCAACATTACATAACAGGTAGAAATGTTCTCAAGGTTAAAACTTAAACAGGAAACAACCTCTTATTTCCTGCTTTAAAGTTTCATCTTTGTAAATTTTTTTGTTGGGAGTCATTGCAATTCAGTATTTTGTGAAACAGTAAAGCCGAGATATGCTACTACTTACAATATTATGCATAAACAAGGATGGTTGTCCTCGTTTGAGTTGAACACGTAGCTCTCGCCCAGGACCAAGGTTAGCCATGTCTATATCCCAGGATATTGGCATTCTGAATAAAGATCCAGAAAAACAGGCATAAGGATACAAAGACAAAGAGCATTATAACACAGGAATACTTTTTCAATGTCCATGATTTTAATTCAAAACTTTTATTAAAGCTAACAAATCTAAACTTCTGAAATTTTGGTGTTATTTAACATTATTCAGTTTGTCCATCAATTGTGTACAAATGTGAAAACATTTCCTGTTGTACATCTGACATCCTGATCAATAAATCCTTGTTTTTACTGGATGACTAAATTCTTTTTTTTTCTCTCTTTCAAATATGTTTACATACAATCATATCAGATTCATTAGTAAGTGCCAAAAATGCGACGACATCATCTGATGTCTTCTCCCATTTATTGATTTATTGAACAGGTTTTTTCAACCAAATATCATGGCAGGAAACAGTTATTAAAATGTAAAGATCTCCCATAGAAATAAGAAAAAAGTTTCTAAAGAAATAAACAAATTATCATAAACTGTACATCAGATGATTGATGTATCAAATTAACAGTAATCATGACTTTCTGGACTTCTGAGTATTGTACTGGATGTTTTGTTAATTAGACGACCTTTTATGTCAATAAACTTACTTTGTTTTGTTATCATATACTTCATATTTCTCTGTCTCTAATCCTCGTCTTGACATGGCTTTTTTCAAAGCTTCTTTAAGAATAATACCTGGTTCGACTCGAGCCTGAAAATGAGTACCATTTGTTTGTATGGAATTGATGACTATATCAGAATGAAGTAATAAACAACATATCATTTTAGTGTTGTTCTAAAAACATTTCCCTGTACTAAATACTATTACTAAATGATCCAATGATATTAGTACCATAACACGTAACAGGATGTGTCTATTATTTCACTTATCTTAACTTATAGGCATGGTTAATACACAAGATAGCAACTGCATATCAGTCCTCAGTCTTTTTAACTACACAGAATATTTGAGGTTGCATATTCAGAATAAGGTAAAATTGCAGAGTCACACAAAAGGCACATGTGAAACCAAATCTGGAGGTAGTGAAGTGATTTACTTCTGAATTTGATGAAACATAGGTGAATTTTATAGTAAAAAAGATTTAAAAATCAAGCAATTTCCAGTAAGCTGTATAAAGTTAAGTGTTTGATTCATTCTACAGAAATTAAGTTATTCAAGCGCGAAAACAAAATTTGTTAATGTAGTCATAATATAACTTTGACATCAGATTTAAGACCTAGGTCTTAAAAGGACACCAAATATACATGTCTTCACTTCCTTTGTAAAGGAACACATGATAAACAAAACAGCTTTAGTACATCATGATGTAATGATAAAGTAGTATGTATCTGTAAGTTAGGTAAAAAAGGGCAGTAACTCTGGTAAAATTAATAGATAAGGACTTTATTTTTTTTAATCCTCTGATATTTAAGATGATCAACAGCAACAGTGTAAAATATTGGTGAAAAATTATAAAATGAAAATAGCCTATCATCATTTCCTGTTATATTCATACTGACCAGGAAAACCAATCGCCATCTCTTCCCTAGACAAGAAACTAAATAACTTTTGTGTAAAGATTGGCTACAAAGAAAGCTTACAGAAGTGACTTGTTCATCTGGGAGATAGGCCTTGACATGACCTGCCCGAAGTGCTTTGGGACTGGACTGGGCAGCAAGGCCTGAAGTCTGTAGGTTATTTCCTTGGGTAGATCCTAGGATGGGAGTAGGTGTCTTAAGCGGTCCCTCCTGTTCCTGGGTAGCATCTGTCGGAGACTCTCGTTCATTGTATAATATCTGTTCATAGCAGGTCATCAGATGAGATTCTTTTTCTTGCAGTTCATGAATTTTGTTTGCTAACGCTTCATACTCCTAGCAAAATAAAACACCAGCATAATTATTTTATGTAGAAAATCAAATCATCAAATGTAACCAAGCAGAATTTCATTACTTCCCACTTTCCAAAAACCTTGTCTCTGGTTTTCCTATCAGTCTTAGAGAATTTCATCACTTCCCACTTTCTAAAAACCTTGTCTCTGGTTTTCCTATCAGTCTTAATTATGAAATAAATTTTATTTCTACTCAATCATTTTTTAAAAACTTTGGTTATCAGTATAAAACAATTTAAAAAGAAAGTGTCTTTCTGCTCATTGGCAAACAATAACTTACGATGAGCAAAAGATCCGAACTGATATATCAAAAACTTGACACTGTATTATATACTTACTTGAATGTACATGGGATCTGGATTCTGGTGTTTTCCGAAGGTGGCATTGAGGGCCTCTAAGTTCTCTTTGGTCAGTCTGATAACTTTCTGTATATTATGAATCTGTTATTAAAAAATAAAAGAAATTATAGTGTTATCTCTTTTATCAATAAGATAATTCACATGTGAAATTAATCAAAAAGCACAGTAATTACTTGTAATACAAACACAGGTTCTTTAATACTTAAGAATTGCCGTGTACATGCATTACAACAGCATGCAGCATTGTAATTAGGAATTTAGGAATTACTGTATTCTTTCTAGTAATCACTTGGTGATTAATCCATAAACTAGATTTCTGAGAAATTGTAAAAACAAAATAGCATCTTCAAAATATGCTAACCATCTTTTTTCTTGACATCTCTTAATTGTATACCTTATATCGTATTGTTTTAAGAACAAGAATTACATTTAATTCTTCAATTCTCAAAATTCATTCCATTTTTTATTTCGCACAAAAATATCACTTTTCCCAATAACACTTATCTGATATTTTGCATTACATGTTTCAATATGATGATAAGTGAATATAGCCAGTATGGCCTTGTAATCCTTTCTCATAGCCCTACAATTTTGTCCCCACAATACACCATATAAACAGAATTTATGTACTCTCTTTGGTGGGTTCAGATGTCCATATATGCTAAAATGTAGTATACAGTTGTACTGTATATCTGTGGCAGAGCATACATACATTTGTATTACATCAGTAGGCCTAAACATATGATTATATATATAGCTGTTTACCAAATAAAAGTGTCTGTACTTTCACAAACTAGAGTTTGACTGTGACCGGTTTTGAGACATTTTGTCATTAATTTTCAATGCTGTCCTACTGATACTTTTTTTTTTTTTTTTAGCATCTTTATTGGGAATGATTTTCCTTCTTTCATGTTGTTTATGAAAATGGGTCCTTTCATGGATGGGTCTAAAACATGGACCTTGGGTAAAAGAAGTCCTCCTCCCCTACTATAGTTTGTAGATTTAATTAGATTATATTGGAAATGACGATATATAACTCTTACGTAAAACATAAACTCTCAATGATGAAACAACTTTGCAAAAATTCTGTTTCCATTCTAAGTAGGTGATTGTGCCATTCTTGCACTTAGCACTATCCTGATCAAGGTCCCAAAGACGCTTTTGTAAATGAATGAAGGCTTGCAGTTGTTTGGCAATAACTCGGCAAAAGATCTTGCTTTCAAATAGCATTTTTGTTTAGTTAAAAAAGACTATCATTAACAATAGATAGTTGACCAAGCTATAGTGATAATTAACGACTTGAAAATATGCTATCAACCTGTTGCTATCAGGAGCAAAGCTTTCAGAGTACAATAGTAAGTCAACCTATCGTTACACCACTAATTATTGTGACATCATCATCAACATTACAAACTTATACAAATGTATGATAGTTATCCAAAAAGTCACAGATCATACAATTTTGGTATAAAATGTGTATTCATATATATATTGACCATCCATATGTACCTGTCCAAACATTTTTCTTAAGAATTGATAAATAATTCTCTATAATTATGGCATATCATACTGGTTTATCCAGTAGTAATGGTTAGGACAGGACTTTTCGCAATTTTTCCTCAGGTTTTGTGGTAGTGATCCCAAGTAGCAGTGCAGATCTGGGCCCAAATTATGATGAAAGTTTAAGATGTTTAAAGGATGCAGGTCTCCCCTCTCATGTTGCTAGAATGTTGATGTTCGTTGATAGACATGCACCAATACCTAATGACAGGAGGCTAAGAAAGAGAGAAAACCTGTAACCAACACCTAGTAATAGGAAGGCTCATAGAAAACCTGTAACCAACACCTAGTAATAGGAAGGCTTATAGAAAACCTGTAACCAATACCTAGTAATAGGAAGGCTTATAGAAAACCTGTAACCAACACCTAGTAATAGGAAGGCTCATAGAAAACCTGTAACCAACACCTAGTAATAGGAAGGCTCATAGAAAACCTGTAACCAACACCTAGTAATAGGAAGGCTTATAGAAAACCTGTAACCAATACCTAGTAATAGGAAGGCTCATAGAAAACCTGTAACCAACACCTAGTAATAGGAAGGCTTATAGAAAACCTGTAACCAATACCTAGTAATAGGAAGGCTCATAGAAAACCTGTAACCAATACCTAGTAATAGGAAGGCTCATAGAAAACCTGTAACCAACAACTAGTGATAGGAGGTTCATTGTTGTTGCCATGTTTAAATATTAATGCATTGCAAAACATGCACAGAAAATTTTGTGAATTCTTCATTTCTCAAATTCACTCAACTCCAATATGGTATTTCACTAAAAATAATACCATACTTCCTTGGGAGGGAGAAAAAAAATGTGTCTGATAATTATTTTGCTGTAATATGGCTTTGACTACCATAAATCTAATCTAAAAAGTCAGGAAGACTTTAGAGTAACTTCCTCAAAATCTGAAGTTCTGGTTTCAAACATACATCAAAGAAAATAAAATTCACATTGTCATTAACCTGAAGTGAGTTCTCAGCACCACTGATTTTCTGAGTTGCTGGACCATAAAATATTCCAAGTTATTTTTTCTAAAATGATGGATGTGTTGAGGTGTCCATGACATGATCTGGCCATTATTCAATTTTGGCAGAAGTTGGATGTGTGAAAGAACAAGGAAAATGCACATTACTGTTAAGAGCTGCTACAAGGAATCAAACTCAGGTCTCTGGCATGATAATCGACCAGCTCACCAACTGAGGCAAAGAAAGCTTGCCCCATCAGCTGAGTGACAGAGACTGTATTTAACACTATATACAAGTGACACAGATCTGCTCCTTTTACAGCTACATACTTTTGAGCGATAGATCTAAACCAAAAAATGAAATGTTAATGATGCTGTTGTCAGTGCCATCCTCAATTTTGCGACTATTTTGTCGCAGGACAGCTGTCAATAAAAATCATCTAGTTCAAGTATAATAATACCACCATTTCCAAGATGCATGTCAAATAAAGAATTAACATTAAAATCTCATTCCATCATTGATAAATCACCAATGGTAGTTCAGTAATATTTGTAAAGGTTATTAAAAGCACCAAAAACAAACGTGATATAACAAAAGTAAGCTTTGATAACTTCTCTTATAGGGTAATGTTTAAGTGACAGCTTACTGTCAGTACTGTATCACATAATCACTAATAATATTTCCTGTTTAACACTTTATGTCAACCGAATATACCAATTGCATCATTTCACATTGTAACGGCTCCTCCTATAAAATATGTTACAATTTACCGCTGATTTACATACAAAATGACAGATTGCATGACATATATGTAACTGTGCGATTATTGAATTTAGGTGACCAACATGTTAAGAAACAGAACATAATTTTAGACAAGATCTCAAATACCAACTATAAATTCAGGTAGGATGTGAACACACATCGTGACACGATGTATGCGACTGTGTCATTAGTGCTGATGACATTTGTTTTGGCTGCACGGATCCCTACAGAGGCCGGTCCTGACTCACGACTGACTCACATCCATATTATCACACACACACGTCGACATAACGACATATCATTGTCCAAATCATAAGAACGCCTGGCGTCCGATCGAGGCGACACCGCGACGTTCCGAGCACCTGTTGTGCTAATTAGCTCTCAGATTGTCTCGCTGTCAACCTTGCAGGAATTTTTGTCCAAAGTAAACAATTATTATCTTGACGTCATAATCAAAGTAAGAATCCCAGAATGAGACATTATGGAAGGGTGATATTCATACCTGATCTTGCAAGTTTGCCGCTTCATTAACATCGTCTCTAGGCGGTCCTGGAGTGTAATCTTGGATATCACCGTTCATTGTCTCTGGCTTTTGCACGACCGCCATATTGGTTCTTCCAGGCTTTCCTCACGTGACCTACCTACATTATCACTGAAATCTCGCGTTATTTCAAATATGCAGACCTAAATAAAGTGCTGCGTAGATTTTCTGTTGATGCCTGTATGACACATAGACTAATGCAAACGGCGCACAATAGCCTTTATCATTCTGCTAATTCTGAAAAAAAAAGTCTGGAAAGTACGTCGTTAGCGTTGTGTAATGCTTAAAAATAGACACGAGAGTCTGATACGCATCGAGCGGCTCTCTGTAGCGGGCGCGTGATATTCTTAAACCTAAATTACGCTTCGTCTCTCTCAGTTTTGTTTCAAACGAAACACGTAACAAGGTTTCCAAATAAAATCGTTTGAATGTGTAAACGCTGATGAAGAAATGTAATCATGCTGACTAAATACACAGTCCAATATATTTGAAATTAATACATAATCCGTTGGAGTTATAAGTAGAATCTATAATGTCATTTAAAAAGACCGTGGGTACATGGAAGATGACGTCTTCGATGATTTTCTTTCTTTAAAATGTAAATAATACCTTTTAAAGACCAAGTGGATAAGACAGACTCCAAATTAATATGTAACTGTATTTATCAGAAGAATGGAATTTTCGGAATGACACAACACATTTTGATCACATGCCAATATGATTCAGACAAGGCGTATTGATGCATTGTTACTACGTCAGTGAGGTCCGCTCAAACATGATGGTAGGCCAATGCATTCATCAGTTTTCCTCATTTCTCAAAACATAGGCCTACTACTTTGATTTAAAGGTTTGAATACACATTTTATGGCTAAACATCTTTAGCTGATTCCACTTAAGAACTTTTTATTTTATTTTTTGGCCAATTTTGTACGCAATATTGATAAAATACAACACATTTGTAACTTTATGATATCGATTAAAGTATTATTTCAACATGCAAAAAGTAATATTTTATCGAACGACGAACAAGAAGCTGTCGTGGGGGACTCGACTGACAGTCAAGATGCCGGAAAGTCCAGAAATCATTCGTTTAAACCATTGGTTTAAACCATACAAAGGTAGGGGATTCTCTAACAATCTCCAGAAAATTTCAGTAGGAATAAGCAGTGGCATTAAACAGACACGAAAATACTTCGAAATATGAGTACCTGAAACTTCGAAACTGGACATGATTCATATTCATGATATGTAGCATTTACCCCAATCATTTTAAGAGTTACCTCCCTTATTCTCGGAAACCCATCATAAGCAGATACCATATACACAGAAAGGTTATGACAGACGACTGTAGAAGTTGGAGATATAACTGCAAACTATCTAACAAGCCATTCAGCTAAGATACAGAAAAGCAAACTTCTGTTTAGTGTTTATAAATGGTAACTGAGCGAAATTTTCTACAATTAAACCTGATGAACTCTCATGGGGGACATTTCAAGACAAGAACACTGTATGTTAGTACCCACGTTCCGACCGAATCCTTGATTTTAGCACAGATTTGGATATAGATATTTCAGCCCGTGATTTCAGTTATCAATACCAATGGATGTCTCGAAACAAAAGTATTGAACGTCATCATCAATGCGAAAGGTCTGATGTTAATGTTGATCAGAATTGAGAATTCGGTATTATTTCTGTTGCATTACATATATCACATACAGACCACTATACCTTAATCTGTCTATACAGTAAACACTTAATCATAAAAATTGGCAGACTGTAGTGCTCATTTATGATTTCATATCTAAAAAATCTGGCATAAGATGTTTAAACTGAATGCTGAGGTATTCAACGCGCAGGTTAAGCAGGATTTTCGGGACAATTGTCTCAAAAATCCATATAATGCTCTAAAATCTATTGCATAGACCTCCTTCACCTACACTACAATATCTTAGCTGTATTCGACAAAGTTACTTTCTGATTTGCATGATTTTTACATTGCTAAAAAGCTATTTGAATAAGCGATTTCATTTGTTGTAAAGAATAAGTTTATCCATGAAAATGTGCACACAGTTACCGTTATATCCGTTAAAGTTTGAAACTTTTTTCCTCGGGGAGAACATGGTGATTCAGCGTTACGTCAACACCAGGTAAACAAAATTGAAAAAAGGCAAATTGTTGAAGTTTTGATAAATGTTGCAGGATAAACAGAATACATGGTCCGTGTTTCAAAATAAGATAAAACGATAAATTGGCTTGTGACAGAATGACAAAATTGATAGGGATATTCCAACAGTCCTGGCGCCAATGTCAAGAGCCGGTTTACCCACGTTACAATACCGTGATCAGTAGAGTAATGCGCTTCGCTCGGAATAGCGCAGGATCTACCGATTTTATCAGAAAATTCAGTTCAGTGATATTCCTGTTAGAAACAGATTTTTCTTCCAGTCCACTACTGACTGCAAATATATTACAAGTAATGTTTAGATGGTGATGTGAAATAATTTAGCATCCAACATGGACAGAGTTAAGTTTGAAACCTTAAGGGCGTATGAAACCCATGTTTGACTGTAAGCAGAGCATAATTCAATGTAAAATCAATTCCAACGTAATATCATAGACTTTCGCTTTTTGATATTCTTCGATACCAATGGAGCGCTTAATATGACGTTCTGTAGATATTTTGCCTGTAGACTGCAATTTGCGAGGACGTTTTTGGCGTCGAGATGAGATTTTTAGCGTCAAAAATTTCGATGTTTTTCTATTGCATATTATGTGTAAATCATCACTGGTCACAGATTTGAAACATATGATTGCTGATTTGGTGGATCACATTTCTTGAATTTCATAACCAAGTTTGTTTCTTGATTTTTGAAAAAAATGACACCTGGGTTAAAAGAAAAAGAACGACAACTTTTTTCTTGTTAAATAAATTTTTCACTAACATTTTTCTATCAAAAAGTTCAATTTCAGCGCATTATCAAATAAAGGATTTAATTCATTTTTTTTCAAATTTACATTTTTTCGGTTGCTATGGAGATTTGCGCCTGTTGAATCAATTTGAAAATTATTAATTTGATATTATTTTTTGCTTATTATCATAGAAATATACCATTTCATCATGCTGGCTATGGCACCGACGAGATGATTCGATGTGGAAGCCAACGTAGACAAGCAGTGGTTTGGCCACCACCAGCCGTAGGATGTTGTGGTTTTGAGTCGAAACATCTGAAGAGGACTGGTACCACCTGATGACATTGACAGGGGCTTCGCATCGGAAAGATACCAATGACATGCTACACACAAGGAATGTCACAGTTAGCAGAATAAGGTCATCTGTAAGTTAACACCTTTATAAGGAATTTTATTATATTTTAATTCATTCAGGATTTATTTATTCCATAAGTAATTATATCTATGTAGTACATTATTGTCTTCCACCACACCGACTTCTGACAGTATGAGTGATGTATGATGAACGACAGCATCCCTGTGATACACAACATTAATAAAACAAGAGGCCTAGCGGCCTTGACGGTCACCTGAGATAAGCAATATTGAATATAAAGGTTAAAGGAAAGTTATCAAGTGTCATGAAACAGACCATCAAAACTCATCAAATACTGATAATTCTTATAAAAATATTTCCAGTGGAAAATAACCAACTTTACGTGTGCTTTTTTTTAGAAGAAGTCGAAATCGTTAAATTATTTATAATATGTTATATTAGAATACCCGAATCGTTTTATAGTGTTTGTGAAGTTTTTCCCTATAACCTGATAGAGACAGAGGCCATGTCTGTTACAATATTTAGTTTGTATACTCTGTTGACCTTTGAACCTAAAAAACTGAAATATCTGTCAAGGTTTAGATTGTACTGTTATGCTTAGAGTTATGAAGATATGTGATACTATAGCATAGTTTAAGAGAGAACTATGACATCTTTATCGTTCAGTGTAGTATCAGTGACTCGAAAATCTTAGAAATCACATGTTTACTGGAGAAAATCCAGTGTATTATCGATAATTCTTTGGTATTTTGAAATCACGATTTAGTATAATTAAACATTTGTTTGTCATCAAACAACAAAGAGTTTGGATAAAATGTTCAATGAATAATGGTGGGCATTTTATTTTCGAAACCAAACAAATAACTGTAAATGTAATTTAATGGAGAACATTACCGAATAGCTAAATGAAATAATGGGCATAAAAGCTGCGAAATATGGGCATAAAAGCTGCGAAATATGGGCATAAAAGCTGCGAAATATGGGCATAAAAGCTGCGAAATAATGGGCATAAAAGCTGCGAAATATGGGCATAAAAGCTGCGAAATATGGGCATAAAAGCTGCGAAATAATGGGCATAAAAGCTGCGAAATATGGGCATAAAAGCTGCGAAATATGGGCATAAAAGCTGCGAAATATGGGCATAAAAGCTGCGAAATAATGGGCATAAAAGCTGCGCAATATGGGCATAAAAGCTGCGAAATAATGGGCATAAAAGCTGCGAAATATGGGCATAAAAGCTGCGAAATATGGGCATAAAAGCTGCGAAATATGGGCATAAAAGCTGCGAAATAATGGGCATAAAAGCTGCGAAATATGGGCATAAAAGCTGCGAAATATGGGCATAAAAGCTGCGAAATAATGGGCATAAAAGCTGCGAAATATGGGCATAAAAGCTGCGAAATATGGGCATAAAAGCTGCGAAATAATGGGCATAAAAGCTGCGCAATATGGGCATAAAAGCTGCGAAATAATGGGCATAAAAGCTGCGCAATATGGGCATAAAAGCTGCGAAATAATGGGCATAAAAGCTGCGAAATAATGGGCATAAAAGCTGCGCAATATGGGCATAAAAGCTGCGAAATAATGGGCATAAAAGCTGCGCAATATGGGCATGAAAGCTGCGAAATATGGGCATAAAAGCTGCAAAATAAAGGGCATAAAAGCTGCGAAATAATAGGCATAAAAATCAGTCAAACAATAGGTATTTGAGCAGCAGGTAACTGTTCCACTAAAACATATAATTTGATGGAAATGACAAATTCTGGTAAATGTTAACGAT